GCGTTCAAATTAATCAGTTCATCCATTCATTGGACAACCGTGTATAGTAGCTGCTTCATCGATATAGTTATTCAACTCAGAACTAGCAACGTCATTGCACAGAGTAGCACGTGTCATGCCATGATTGCTTAATCTATAACAATATAATTCTCACTAATCTTCTGTTAATGAGTCGGAGAGGATTCTCGCTCATTAGATTGTTCTTAAACGCTACAGATACTAGATTGATGAGGGTAGTTCTGAACTGGAACGGTAGTTGGTGAATATTCTCAATGTAAACAGGAAAATTGATGTTTAAGTAAAATACATAAACAAATGGTGATCAATATTAATTGATAATGATTGTAAACAGATTACAGATTTTGTATATTTATAGAAGTTACTTGAAATCTTGTAGAAATAATTGAAGATTATTTAACAATAGTAATAAATGAAAATAAAATAAAGTTTCATAAGATGTTTGTATTTGAAAGTTACCAGAATCCAACAGATCGAAAAATCTTCTTTATTCTAATTTATTCAAGTTATCTAATAATACTTAATACATGAAAGTATGTATAAATATTCACGGTATAATCAGCAGATATAATATAACCAGAAAAATGTAATCAAAGACCTTGCTAAAATCTTAGAAAATTTTAAATGTGACTATCGTTTCAACCCTTGAGCTGCTCAAATAGGCTAACGAGACCTAATATGGAACACCACAGTATTTCGGACCTTCAGAGACGCAAAAAAATATTCTGTCTACGCGAAACGCTTCCGCTGAGAGTATTCACCACTCAAAGGGTTAAAATCTCTCAAAAATCCGAAAAATGTTCTCACTCAATTCAACCTCTGCACAACTCAAATACGTGACGTTCACAACGAACGTGTTAATCCACAAGTTCACCGAAGATTTTCCCTCGCAGTAATACTACCGGGCGCAAGAAGTTATTCGCGTTCGGCACGCCGATTTCGATCGATCGATGAGACGAAGGAGGAGGTTTAATGGCAGGGACGCGTATGGCGGTGTTGTCACGACGGATCGTTATCGCGTGCGGAATGTGAATTAGAAGGGGAAAAAAACGAGGACAAAAAAATAGCCAACAAGAGACAGAGCGCGCGCGCGAGAGAGAGTGAAAGGGAGAGAGATAGAGAGAGAAAGCGAAGCGCATCTCCGCCGGTGAAACGGCGCGATGGCGTTATAGGCAGGGTAAATGCCTTTTTGCGGGACGTCGCGATGATATTGCCCGTTTGAAAATTTATCTCCGAGTCATTTCGTCCGGTTCGGTCTGTTTTATTATCGCTCCGAATATCCTGTGTCGGCCATTCTTCACCCAAGCGGCCGTGCACGATAATGCGACTGAAAGCGAATTAATAATTGGTAACGTGTAACGGTTACGACTAGCAATTAAAAAGTCCCGGCCAATTATGCGAAACAAACGCGGCGAATAAAAAGCGCGGTGCGGTAACGATGAAG